TTGTGTTGTCAACCTTGCAGTAGTGCAAACATATTATAAATAAATTAAGACACTGTCCATGACAGCTGAAAAAAAATCTAAATAAAACATCTGAAATGTGACAGTCTTTTCAAATGTTGTTTTCTGAGTTGAGTAANGGAACTGTGCCCACCACTGGTGGCCTCGTTGCACTGGTGGTGGCTATGTGGGCATTCCTGGCTAGGTTTTCCTTGTTGGGATTCGGTGGCTTCTTTGAGCTGCGGGCTGGCTGTGGGAATGGGGGTCAGGGTTTGGGGGTCTGGATGGCTCCGGGGTGGATGGGTATTTGGTCCTGGTCCCTGTCGGTCCTCGGCGCTCTGTGACCACCTTGGGCCCCTTGGGGCCTGGTGGTGCTGCTGCTGCTGTCTGTTCTGGGCCCCAATTTTATTGCACATCTTAGACAATCACCTATAACATTCTCATGACACTCACATATAGGGTCTTGGGGGTAAGCACGAGCTGGGGTGGGACTGGCACTGCCCCTTCTCCCCCATTCTAATTGCATTATAAAACAACATGCATCAACAGCACATTTGAGGGGGCGAGAGTGTGTGTTGGGGGGGTTCTGCCCGTTTGCCGTATAATGCATTTGGGGGTCGGAAAGACGAGCATACATCTGATCGGGCTTGGGCTGTGGGTGGGCTCTGCGCCCTGAGGAGTGCTGGGCTGGCGTCCCAGTTCCCCTGGGGTCATTTGGATTTTTCCATCATAGCTCCTGATTGCTGTGGTTGGCCACCTGGATGGAGTGGCTGCCGGGTTTCAGAAAGTGCTTGGCTTGGTGTGTGTGCTTGGCCAACCAGTCTAAAATGTTAACTACCGGTATATAAAAAAACTGTTACTGATACAGTTTTTCATTGACAAAACTAGCAGAGGAGAAAATAAAGAACTTTTATTTCTTTTCTATAAAATGAAATGGTCTTGTTGTTTCACAGGGGAACGGACATGAGCGTGACTTCATGGATGACCGCAGAGTCTTCATTATGGACATGTATAATCACAATATCTATCCTGGAGACAGATTTGCCAAAAGTGAGTCAGAGCACCATCAGTTTTCAAATTATTTTGGAATATTCATACCTGAATGTTTACTCAATTTACTCTGAACTTCCTGCCTAATATTGTTTAGTTCATGGTTGGTTTAATGTGTTTTCAGCAGTATTTTTGATGAATTTTTTGAGATGTTTTAATTTATTTTAATTGTAGGAGCCATAAGGAGGAAGGTGGAGTTGGAATGGGGCACTGAAGACTCAGAGTATCTTCAGAAGTTGGAGCTCCATTCTGAGGGAACGCTGAATGAAGTCCGACCTGACATCCTTGTTTATAACGCAGGAACCGACATCTTGGATGGAGATCCRCTCGGTGGACTCTCTATATCCCCACAGGTATCACACTGACCCTGAAAACGGCTTTTATAAACTTTCTTTTGATGATGCCAGAACATTTAATTTGTTCAATAGATCAAAGAGTTCATTTAGTTGTTAGAACATTATTCCATGCTTTAATTGCAAATTAAAAGTAACTGTAATCTGTTACAGCTAGTTTAGGAAATGTAGGAGTAAAATTACAGTAAAATTACAGAAAGGTCCCTGGCTGGGATTTGATCTGGCAACCTTCTCGCTGGGAGACAACTGCTGTGCCAACTGAGCAGGTCACGCTGCATACAATAATTGTAAAAACCTTAAAACGGTGATATGTGCAAATATATTCACCAGGGGTGCAACAATACAGAAAATTCCTGGTTCGGTTCGATACTTAAAACGTGTTYGTTTACTTCATAATGTGTTCACCACCAGATAGAAAGCTCTCCAATGATTGAATGTTTGAATGTGAGGAAATTCATACAACCGCACACAGCGCTGTGGTCCGAGACAGAGTTTATTTTGTTGTCCTGCTCGAGGCAGGAAATGGTTTCCGGTTTTAACTATGTCTTCGAGACGTTTTTTTTATGTGTTGTGAGTGTTTTCAGGCATGTACCTGATAAATGTACCTCCCACCCAGACCAGTGTGTACATAAAATCATCAGTTTCATCACAAAAATAATCACACATTAGTTTATAAAAATATATCATGTTTCACCTAAGAAAAACTACAACATGTGTGGTGATTTTTATAAATCAGTAAGTAAACAAACCCCAATAAAATTCTTCAGTTGTTCAATATTTTTTCAGTACAAAAAAGAGAAATGTCCATGTCCTTCTTAACTTGTAATTTATTAGAATTATGAATATTTGTTTAACCCGGGTGGCACGGTGGCTCAGTTGGTAGAGCTGATGCATGCTTTAAATTGTCCCTAGGTGTGAGTGAGAGAGTGCATGGTTGTTTATCTCTGTGTGGCCCTGTGATGGACTTGCGACCTGTCCAGGGTGTACCCCGCCCCTCGCACTGTGACTGCTGGATATGGGCACCAGCGACCCCCTGTGACCCTGGAAAAGGAATAAATGAATATTGATAATGGATGGATGGATGGATATTTGTTTAACCTCAAAAGTCTGTTCGTCCATCTTCTTCCTCTTATCTGGGGTCAGGTCTCGGGGGCAGCAGTCTAAGCAGAGACACCCAGACTTCCCTCTCTCCAGCCACTTGGACCAGCTCCTCTGGGGGAATCCCAAGGTGTTCCCCGACCAGCTGAGAAACATAGTCCCTCCAGCGTGTCCTGGGTCTTCCTCTGGGCCTCCTCCCAGTGGGATGTGCCCGGAACACCTCCCCAGGGAGGAGTCCAGGAGGCATCCTTACCAGATGAACCACCTCAACTGGCTCCTCTGGRCGTGGAGGAGCAGCAGCTCTACTCTGAATCCCTCCTGGATGACTGAGCTTCTCACCCTATCTCTAAGTGAGAGCCCAGACACCCTGCAGAGGAAACTCATTTCAGCCACTTGTATCCGCGATCTTCTTCTTTCGGTCACTACCCAAAGCTCCTGACCATAGATGAGGATAGGAAAGTAGACCGACTGGTAAATCGAGCTCTGCCTTCTGGCTCAGCTCCTGCTTCACCACGACTGTTATGAATGCCTTGGTTAGGTAAGAACCCCAGATGCAGGACTGAGTGAGGGGGGGRAAAATTTTAAAAAATGAAAACAAGAGGCTGATGTGGCAGAAAACTAAATACAAAAGCTTGACTTTGGCTTGAAACAAGAACTTGAACATCTAACAAAACACATAAACAGTTAACACGTATCTGACAAACACTGAAGACAGTGAACAGAAAATAAAGGGAAACTAATGACTATCAAGATACAGCTGGGGAAGAAACATGAGGATCAGGTGTGAGTGGGCGGGGCTGGAACAGGCAGACAGGAGGAGGAAAACAGATGACAAGACAGAAAACTAGAATAAAATGTTAACACAAACACAAATCATAACAACGACAGACCGGTACAACGCCCGCATCACTGCAGACACAGCACCAATCCGCGTGTCGATCTCCCACTCCATTCGTCCCTTATTCGTGAACAAGACTCAGAGATGCTTAAACTCCTCCACTTAGGGCAGGACCTCCTCCCCGACCTGGAGAAGACACCCTACCAGTTTCCGGATCAAGACCATGGTCTCGGTTTGGAGACACTGATCCTCATCCCAGCCGATTCACATTCGGCTGCGAACCACTCCAGTGAGAGCTGGAGATCACGATCTGATGAAGCCAATAGGACCACATCATCCGCAAAAAAGCAGAGATGTGATCCTAAGGTCACCAAAAAGGATCCCCTCAACACCTCGACTCCACCTAGAAATTCTGTCCATAAAAGTTATGAATAGAATCTGTGACAAAGGGCAACCTTGGCAGAGTCCAACTCTCACCGGAAACGAGTCCGACTTACTACCGGCAATGTGGACTAAGCTCTGGCACCGGTCATACAGGGACCTAACAGCCCGTATCAATGGGCCTGATACCCCATACTCCCAGAGTACCCCCCACAGGAGTCCCCAAGGGACACGGTCGAATGCCTTCTCCAAGTCCATAGAACATGTAGACTGGTTGAACTCCCATGCACCCTCCAAGACCCTGCTGAGGGTGTAGAGCTGGTCTGCAGTTCCACGACCAGGACCAAAACAACACTGCTCTTCCTGAATCTGAGATTTGACTATCTGACGGACCCTCCTCTCCAGGACCCCTGAATAGACTTTACCAGGCAGGCTCAGAAGTGTGATCCCCCTGTAGTTGGAACACACTCTGCGCCCCCCCCCMCCCCCGTCCCCATTTTTAAATAGGGGGACCACCACCCCAGTCTGCCAATCCAGGGGAACTGCCCCCCGATGTCCATGCGATATTGTAGAGTCGCGTCAACCAACACAACCCCACAAAATCCAGAGCCTTAAGGATCTCTGGGTGAATCTCATCCACCCTCGGCGCCCTGCCACCGAGGAGCTTTTTAACCATCTCGGTGACCTCGGCACCAGAGATTGGAGAGTCCGACCCAGGGTCCTCAGGCTCTGCTTCCTCATGGGAAGACGTGTCCGTGGGATTGAGGGGGTCTTCGAAGTATTCCGCCCACCGACCCACAACGTCCCGAAAAATACCGTTTTTAAATTAAATATTGCTGAAACAGCAAGTTTCTCAGTGGATCTGTGCTCGACAGTGCAGCCTAGGAGGAGTAGTTGAACACAGATCCATTGATCCTTCAACACAGAGCATCTTCAGAAGACAAGTTCATAAAATAAATGTTCAAAATCTATATTTTTTGACACAAGTGTGTATTGAACCTAAAGCACTGTATTGAAAGATTCAATACAGATGCATTTATTGTTGCACCCTTAATATTCACCCCAAATAAAACCCACCTGTGGACAATCTAAGGCTCAAATGATGCAAATCTGTTGTGGGTAATATCAATGCAGAAAAATACAAATAAATTCTTGAGAGAAACTTGTTGGAGTCTTCCAGAGATTTGAGCCTGGGACAGAGGTCCTCCTTCCTGGTTCTCAAGGGCCACATTCCTGCATGTTGTACTTGTTTCTCTGCTCCAACACACCTGATTCAGTGATTAAATTACCTTTTCACATTCTACAGAAACCTGTTAATCATTCATTCATTCAAATCATGTAAGTTGTAGCAGAGAAACATTTCATAGYTATAAAAACCCAGGATTGTTTTTATGCTCTCTATTAAAAATGAATAATATACAGTTCTAGCTTTGCGAAGGGCTTTCTTATATGTTAGAAGGCTATTTTTCCAAGTTAAATAAAATTATTCCATGTTAGTGGAGCGCCATTTTCTCTCTAGTTTTCTAGATGTCTGTTTTAAAGAACGTAACTCAAACAGTCAAACGGGGGCCTGGGGAGATACAGTGCGCTGGTGGGCTGTCACACAGTCATGAGATGACGTTTGTTTTGACTTGGCGCTATACAAATAAACTGAACTGAAACTGAAGTGAATTCTTTAAATATGGCTATAGTGTTCTCTGATAAACATCTACTATAATAAAATTTACTCTCAGTGGCTGTGTAGTCAGTTAACGTAAACTCAAAGATTATTAAAAATTGGTCTGAGAGAACAGGATTGTGAGGATGTATTAAGTTTTTACTCTCCATACYGTACGTCAGAACCAGATCAAGAGTGTGATGAAGGGAGTGAGTAGGTCTGTGGACATTTTTGGGTATAACCAATTGAGTCTATTGTTTTCCTGAAGTCTAGGTTTAAGCTATCACTTTCAACATCTACATGAATATTATGTCGTAAAATCCCACATTATACCTTTATTGGTGTTCAGTAATAAGTCAGACAAAAAATCTGAGAATTTAAATAAACACTGAGGTGGACGATAATTAACAAGTAAAAGTGCTTTTTTTCTGATTTACACTGTGGATGAGAAAAACTGAGGGACAGAGATTCAAAAGACTCATAACCAATAATTGATTTAGAATTTATCAATAATCCTGACTGATGATTTRCAGCTCCTATGTTCTAGGAACATGAAAATTTAATTCATTAGCAGGAGTGGATTCATTTATACAGACAAAATGCTGTTATTGTAACCAGGTTTCAGTAAGACAAAGCAGGGTTTATACTTGACCTGAAATGGACGTTTTAGACTGAACAACTAGTGTTGTAGTCAAGACCACCTAACCCAAGACCAAGTCAAGACCAAGACCACAGTGTCTCGAGACCAAGACCACAGTGTCTCGAGACCGAGACAAGACCAAGGCTTTTAGGGTTTGAACCAAGTCAAGACCGAGACCAGAGGAGAGTGAGACCGAGACAAGACCAAGACCAGATTTAAAACATGTGTCTTAAAAGATGGAGTATTCTGTACACATGTACAGTGGGGGAAACGTATTTAGTGGTTGAGGTCTAACTATGATGTCAATCACAGGCCTCTCTCATCTTTTTAAGTGGGAGAACTTGAACAATTGGTGCTGACTAAATACCCCACCCCCCACTTTAGCTAACTTAATATGTAGAGTTCATATTGACAAAATCTTTGTGTGAGGGCAGAGGAAAGAATTTTGCTACAGAAGCAGATTGTTAACATTGGTGACTATAAAAGTTTAAAGTTGTCCCCACCGTCTCTGAAAGTGAAGCACTGCCGAATGTACAAGTTGCTGTACACCAGGGGTGCCCAACCTTTTATGAACCAAGAGCTACTTTTGAAGTCGGCAGTTTGCCGAGATCTACTCGTACAGTCTCAGTTTAAAAAAAAAACATAAAATGGTCTCCCTACTCCTCACTTCTTTAAAGAAAATAAAACAGAACGTAATGTGTTGCTAGTTTTATTTAATTTAAAGTATTGTCAAACAAAACTATTTACTTAACCATATATTTACCTACAAAAAAGAAAATATAAAATCTTTACTTAACTCCTGACAGAGAAACAGAAAAGGGATGCTTGAACAAAAAGGATCAATTATTTTATCTCCTTCAATTAGTACTCCCTGTAACGTGTGAACTATGAGGGCTGAAAACCTGCCCAGTGAGAACCACAGAGTCAAATAACTTTGGAGCACGGGAACTCGTCTCCATATATTCAAAGAACTCTTCTCTCTTCTCTCCAAGCAGGGAAGGAAAATCAAAACAAATATCTATCAGGGTCATCATGGCTACCACAAGAGTGCCGCCCTTTTTTTCCCCAAAATCAAAGCACACAATATAAAACTCTCTCGTAGGCGGCTATAAAACCCAGTGCTGAGCTTCCAGGACCGTTTCACCTGATCAGATCTGTTCCTTTTATTGCCTGGAACAGATCCATCAGGTGGGTTTTTGAATTTTATGCATTTGTAGCAGTAACTTGGAAGTGGAATGTCAATGCTCCAAACTTTGTTCACCACATGATTCTGCCATGTTTACAAGAGAACAGTGACCCATTCACTTACCTCCAAGCATTGTTTACTATCTACAAGTGGTAAAGATAACAACAGGATACGACAGAGACCTCCTGTGATTGAGTACTGTTTAAGAACCTTTGATGTACTCAAAATGGCCGCTTATCACAAAAGAACTCAAGGTTTTAGCAGACACGAAGTCTAGCAGAACGGGTCTGCTGCAGAGAAAAAGCCTTTGAAGCTGGATTTCTTGCTGAGTTTTATTACTTACACTACATCAAAGGCAATCGTTTACATACCACCTCATTTACGGTATTACAGCGTCCCCAAAAGACTGGTTTTATAATTACACCATGGATGTATGTTTTCCTGTATTTCTCATTCTGATATAAAAAAAAACATTATTGTATGTTCTACGTGACTCAATCATGTGAAACCTTGCACTATTAATCACTTCACAAGCAGTCTTATTTCTGTGTGTGTGTAATCAATCTCAGAGTGAGGACAGACTGTAAAGAGTAAGAAAGGTCAGGTGACCATTATCAGCCAATCATGAGTTTCAGAGTCTGAACAATAGGAGTTAGTTTGGCAGCAAAGCAGTTAGTCGGTCAGTAGATGAAGAGGATGATGAAGGAAGAAGCAGCGTGAAAGCTTAGCTTCATTTTCCCTTAGGGAACAATTTTATTTTTATTTTTATTTTATTTTATTTTATTTTGTAACTTTAAAGTTGTTGATTTKTCKTTATAACGAGGGACTGGATTCATGCAGGAAGCGAGCCCGATTAGAATTTTCTTTAATCAACAAGTGACCAGGAGTAAACACCTGATTCCAGCTTGGAGCTGAACCCAATCGCTTCGAGGTGTTCAGTTGTACCCACAAAGGGACCGCTYTGAAACCAGCGACACCGCTGGCACGGCTTCAATCACGCCCTGGTACCCTGGGACAACGATAAGACAAATCTTCAGAGCGGTAGGACAAACATACTTTCTCTGTTGACGGTGTCTGCTCAGCTGATGTGGTGGTGGTGAAGCCTCTGGATCATTGAGTTTGAATTGAGGAAGGTTTGGCGAGCTTAATTCATGCATAATTCACGTCCCCCCTTATATTGATGAATTAACAACTTCCTTTTATTAACCTTCAAGTTTCTTATAATCTTTGTGAGTGTAGATTAGTTAAGTGATTCAGGTGAAGGATACTAGCTTATTATGGAGTAACATTAACGTTTATTATTAAACTTAAGGTTTGATGATAATTGTCTCTGTCTGCCCAAATAATCTGTTGTATTGTGACCTCTGAATCATTTAATATAGGTTATATTTTGAAATTTCGTTKGTCTGTGTGTCATTTATTGGATTTCGTCTTGAAAATGATAGAATTCGCTACTCAGTAATGAAGACTGATTTAAAATCTATAAATTATTTTCCTGAAATATCAGGTGGTGCCCCATTGTTATGCTAATAATTACAAGGTATTTATGATATAGCATTGTCCATAACATTGACAAACAGCATATCCCTACACATTATTGGAGAAATATCGCCCACCAGTGGTTCAGGGGGCATGCTGTTATAAAACCTGGTGCTGAGCTTCCAGGACTGGTTTCACCTGACCAAATCTGTTCCTTTTATTATCTGGAAGTGATCCATCAGGTGGGTTTCTGAATTTTATGAATTTTTGCAGAAATATCGCCCGCTAGGGGTTTCTGGCTAAATCCAGGCGGGAGAGCGGGTGCTGTACGTAGGACCACGGTTCCACCTCTCTGGATCTCTTCCTTTTATTCCCCTGCATCAGCACAAGCAGCCCCATGCTGGAAATCAGCCGTTTCACCTGCTGGAGCTCGCCTGACAACATTTGATTGCTTATATCTCCGCATGGGAATGTCCCAGGAACTTGCAACCACCTCCAGTTGTAGCGGAGATCCAGAGTTTTAAAACGAACCATCTCCCGCCCGGATCAGATGCTCAGAGCCAGCGCTAGAGGCTCCGGAGTAAATTGAGTACTATATCGCCTGCCAAAGCGCCTTTTTTGGCCGGTTGTTGGTTAATAGCTCCACGGGGGAAGGTCCCAGGAACTTGCAACCACCTCCAGTTTGTAGAGGAGGCCGTAGCTTTCCAAAGTCATCTCACTTTCCTGGATCCGATGCTCAGAGCCCACGGGAGAAGCAAACGAAGGTTGAAATTTCCTCCTCAAAATGCGCATAAAATTTACTAAGTCGTGCGTAATTTGCTTATAACTCCGCGGGGCAATGTCACAGAGACTCCATTCAAGTATCAGCTTGTACGGCAGAACCAGAGCTTTAAAACCCGACCAGCCACTCCAGGATCCTATGCTCCTAGGGGGGCTAAAACCACCCCGGCGGAGGTCAGACGGTACGTAATTTTGGAGGTTTTTTTTGCTTATATCCCCACAGGGGGACGTCGCAGCGACTCCACTCAACTTTCCCCTTGTAGGGAAGAGCTAGGGCTTTAAAACCCGACCATTCACTCCGGGATCTGATCCTCCTAGCCTGGGAGGGGGTGCTAAAACCACCCCGGCGGGTGGTCCGACGGTGCGTATTTTGGAGGTTTTTTGCTTATTGCTCCGCGGGGGAACATCGCAGGGACTTCATTCAACTTTCACCTTGTAGGGCAGAA